CCACAAAAAGACAGAGTGAAATAAGTTTACAGCCCAAGACAACCTGGATGGTTGATTGGAAAGGTCTATTACACTGGGCTGGGAGAGGAGCAAAGTTCAATGTGAGTACGCAGGCAAACACCAGGCCTCAGCAAACCTGGAGCAGGACTCAGGGGACTGAATCACAGGCAGCTGTGGTGGTTTCCAGATTTCTCAACCCACAAACACTGAAGACAACTTAGAAGGTCAGTAGGAAAGGTCTGTGACCACAGTGAGAGAAAAACTCAGTCCCAGCCCTAGTCCTGACACAGCCCCAGGGCAGCGGCTGCTTCCAGAGCTCTAGGCCCATAGATGAGGGGGAATCGAGTGGCTGATCAGAGGAGGATTTTAGGGATCTCTTTGCTGGTGCTGAGACAGGAATCTCTGGCTTTGCCCGTGCTTGGATCTGGGTCACAGTTCTGGGTGGTGGTCCTGGGTTGAGAAGGAGCACTGACATGGTGGAGCTCGTAGTGGCAGTGGAGAGAGAATCCTCCTCACAGTTCAGAGGCAGAAAAGAGTGCTTGTTGTCACTCATACACTAGAGCACAGGCCAGGAAAGGAATAAACACTCCTTAGAACACACCACTTTGGAAGAACGGAAAATTTACAGATCCCTAGAAGTATCTCTGAAAACAGCTGCACAAAACCCCCAAAGCTTGGGACAGTACATTCTCCACACTGGAAGTAGACTCCTACCTTAACAAAGAGTTTATAACTCAAGTAATTAGCTGGGATCATGAGCAAACTGCACCAAAAAAAAGTCAGACCATAGAATCTTTCTTTGGTGACAAAGAAGATCAAAACATAAGACCAGAAGAAGACAACACAGTCAAAGCTCCTACATCCAAAACCCCCAAGAAAAATATGAATTGGTCCCAGGCCATGGAAGAGCTCAAAAAAGATTTTGAGAAGTAAGTAAGAGAAGTAGAGGAAAAACTGGGAAGAGAAATGAGTGATGCAAGAAAATCATGAAAAACAAGTCAACAGCTTGCTAAAGGAGACCCAAAAAAATACTGAAGAAAATAACACCTTAAAAAATAGCCTAACCCAAATGGCAAAAGAAGTTCAAAAAGCCAATGAGGAGAAGAATGCCTTAAAAGGCAGAATTGGCCAAATGGAAAAGGAAGTCCAAAAGCTCACTGAAGAAAATACTTCCTTAAAAATTAGAATGGAGTAAATAGAAGCTAGTGACTTTATGAGAAATCAAGACTTTGTAAAACAAAGCCAAAAGAATGAAAAAATAAAAGACAATGTGAAATAGCTCATTGGAAAAATAACTGACCTGGAAAATAGATCCAGGAGAGATAATTTTAAAATTATTGAACTATCTGAAAGCCATGATCAAAAAAAGAGCCTAGACATCATCTTTCAAGAAATTATCAATGGGAGCAGCTAGGTGGCACAGTGGATAGAGCACCGGCCCTGAAGTCAAGAGGACCTGAGTTCAAATCTGGCCTCAAACCAAACAGTTGATGCTTACTAGCTGTGTAACCCTGGGCAAGTCACTTAACCCCAATTGCCTTTAAAAAAAAAAAAAAAGACAGAAATTATCAAGGAAAACTGCCCTGATATTCTAGAACCAGAGGGCAAAATAGAAATTGAAAGAATCCACCGATCACCTCCTGAAAGAGATCCCCAAAGGAAAACTCCTAGGAATATTGTAGCCAAATTCCAGAGTTCCCAGGTCAAGGAGAAAATATTGCAAGCAACCGGAAAGAAACAATTCAAGTATTGTTGAAACACAATCAGGATAACACAAGATTTAGCAGCTTCTACATTAAGATTGGATTGGAGGGCTTGGAATATAATATTCTGGAGGGCAAAGGAGATAGGATTACAACCAAGAATCACCTACCCAACAAAACTGAGTATAATCCTTCAGGGGAAAAATGGACATTCATTGAAATAAAGGACTTTCAAGCATTCTTGATGAAAAGACCAGAGCTGAATAGAACATTTGACTTTCAAATACAAGACTCAAGAGAAGCATGAAGAGGTAAACAGGAAAGAGAAATCATAAGGAACTTATTAAGGTTGAACTGTTTACATACCTGCATGGATAGATGATATTTGTAACTCATGAGACCTTTGTCAGTATTAGGGTAGTTGGAGGGAAAAAATTTATATGTATAGAGAGATACATAGCTAGCTAGCTAGCTAGCTAGATAGATAGATAGATAGATAGATAGATAGATAGAGGGCACAAGGTGAGTTGAAGATGAAGGGGTGATATCTGGAGAATAAAATTAAGGGGTGAGAGAGGATTATACTGGGAGAGGGAGAAAGGGAAAGGTAGAATGGGGTAAATTATCTCACATAAAACAGACAAGAAAAGGCTTTTACAGTGGAGGGGAAGTGGGGGAAGGTGAGAGGGAATGAGTGAATCTTATTGTCATCGGATTTGGCTTAAGGAAGGAATAACATACACGCTCAATTGGGTATGGAAATCTATCTTACCCTACAGGAAAATAGCGGGGCAAGGGGACAAGAAAGCAGGGGGATGATAGAGGGGAGGGCAGATTGGCACCAATGTGCTTAGTCTGTAAGATCCCATGATATAAAGAACAGAAAATAGGCAGGTAAGGCTAGATTATAAAGTGTTGCAGAAGGAGGTAATATGTAAGAAGGCCAAAAAGATAGGATAGAGTCAGATCATGAAGAGCTTTAAATACTAAACACAGGGGTTTATATTTGATACTAAAACTAATTGGGATCTCCTGGGAGTTTATGGAGTAAAGGGGTAACATGGTCATACATGCACTTTAGGAAAACCACTTTGCTGGCTTTATGGAGGACAGATTGGAGTAGGGAGAAACTTGGGGCATGGTGACAAATTAGAAAACAATTGAAATAGTTCAGGAGAGAGCTATCCAGATCTAAACTAAAGGAGCTGCTGTGTGAGTCAAGAGAAGGGCATATCTGTGAGAGAATATCTGTGAGGGGTAGCAATGAGTAGATCTGGCAGTTGATTGGACATGGGGGAGTAAATATGAGGACTTAAGGATGACACCAAAGTTGTAAACCTGAGTGACTAGAAGAATAATGGTACCCTCAGCAGTAATAGGGAAGTTCAGAAGATAGAGTAGGTTTTAGAGGAAAGATAAGGATTTCTGTTTTGGACATACTGAGTTTGAGATGCCTCCAGGATTGTCCAGTTCAAAATATACAATAGGCAGGTGGTGATCAATGGGACTGATGCTAAGGAGAGAGACTCGAGCTAGATATATAGATCTGAGAGTCATTGTAGAAGGAGAGTGGGGGGAGGGTCCAGAGAGAGAGAAAGGAAGAGAAAGGTTTGCATTGAGCCCATGACAGTTGATGAGGTCACTGAAAGTGGTCAGAAGAGGGCCAAAGGCAGAGCCTTGGGAGATACCCACAGTTAGTAGACAGGACATGGACAATGGTTCAACCAACCAGACTGAGAAGAAACTGTTAGAGGCTTAAAATGAAACACAAGAGAGAGAGCAGTATCATGAAAACCCAGAGAACAAAGAGTGTACAGGAAGAAATGGTGATTGACAATGTCAAAGTCTACAGAGGTCAAGAAAAGATCAGTAGAGTTGGCAGTTATAAGATCATTCTTAACTTTGGGGAGACCAATTCAGGGTTAGCTCTGATAACCAAAATCAGCTGCATCTTCCGTACTTCCTATTTATGCCAAGGGCATCAACCTCCTTCCAGTCAGGTCAGTTCACCATCTCGGAGTCATCCTTGACTCATTTTTCTCCCTCACCCAAGATCTTACATATCTCCCATATCTGACCCCCTTCTCTCCACATGGCCATCCCCTTTATCTAGGCCCACATCAACTCTCTTCACTATAGTAATAGCCCTCCTAATGAGGCAAGGGATCCATGTCTCTCACCCCTCTCCTGCTTAATAAACTCCACAGGTTCCCTATTATATTCAGGAACAAATACAGTCACCTCTGTAGGGCATTTAAAGCCCTCCACTACCTGGCTCCAACCAGTCTTTTCAGATTTATACGTTACTCCCCTTCATAGTGTTCCTGGACATCCAAACAGGCCATCCAGCTGTTGTTCCTCAAACACAATATTGCATTTCCCATCTCCAGGCCTTTGCCTTATCTGTCCCCCATGCACAGAATGTATTCCCTCCATACCCTCACCTCTTAGAATCCTTAGTTTCTTTTATTTTTTTATTTTCTTTTATTATTTTTCTTTTATTTATTTTATGGAATAAAACAAGCATTTCCATAACATAATATAATAATAAAAAAAGATTGCCCACGAAACTGCAAATCTGTTATGTACAACTTGCTATTCCTTTTAAATATATAATAAAGGTATCATGTAAATTTCTTTTTTTCCCTTTTTCTCTTCCCCCTCCACTCTAGAGATGCCCAAAATTAGACACAAATATGATAAAATCATTCTATACAAACTTCTATTTACCAGTTCTTTTTCTGGATGCAGAGAGCATCCTTGTTTCTTTCAAAGCTCAGCCTCAGTGCTGCTACCTACATAAGGCCCTTCCTGATCTGCTCCCGCCCCAGCTCCCAGAGCCTTTACCCAGGGGTGTGCTTGTGAATTTTAACAACCATTCAATAGTGGGGGGGGGGGGTGACGACAAAGCGATATTCAGGGCACTTTTTTTTTTCCAGTTTAACCTGCATCATTAACATTTTCTCCATCACTTTCTTAAGTCTAGATGATCAGCAAAAAAAATAAATAAACCAAGCCCGGATTTATAACATTTCCCAATTTCTGAGGTATAAATGTTCACACTAAAAGTATAATAATTAGCTCTCAAGAGCCAATTCAAGCTGGCTCCAACACAGTGTAGGCTCCACCCCTAAAAATTACTTTTTTTTTTGTATGTGTACTTGCTGTCTCCCCAGATAGAATTAATTTTTAGAGAGCAGAAATCATTTCTTTTTTGTCTCTGTAGCCATAGGGCCTGGTATATACTTGGCATTTAATCAATACTTGTCGATTGCTTGTCTATTTTATTGAGTATAGGCATTGTGGTTGGCGTGAATGAGAACACGGCTTTTTCCTGGCCTGTATGTAACAGATGTGGCAGTGGGAAACTGGAGCAGGACCTCTCAGAAAACAGGTAAGAACCAACGAGTACCGTTCTTTCAAGCCCCTCTCTAAGGCACTAAGTGAGGCAGGAAGGAAGTCCAAAAGGAAATTGGAAAGACTAATGTAGCTCCTGTCCTCCATCCCTCTTACTGCCAAGGGCATGCTGCATCCTGCCTGAAGGATCTGACTGCCCAAAAGCCCAAGCAGGTTTCAGTGGGATTATCAATAGATCCCTAAAGGACAGGCATAACCTGAAGTGAACATAGCCTGAGAAATAACTAAACCCCCAGTGGCCCCTGGAAAATGCTCTGATACATTTTGAGTTCTGTCTCAGCAGCAGGGGGATACTGCTGTTTCTTAGGGCTCCTCCTACCTGAAATATGGGGGAGGAGAAATTGGGATGTTTTTGTCCTAAATACCAGTCATTTACAATCAGCCAAGAGGATAAAGGAAAGTTGAGGCCAGAAAAGAGCAAGTGAGAAATCCTGATGGCTGTACAATTTGTCCTTTAGGGAAGAAAAAAAAAAAATCCAGGCTTTTCCCTTAGGGAAAAAAAAAAAAAAAGACTGAGCAAAAGTCATCTGACATTGGTATTTGCTATTAAGAAACGTGCTTGTAAATGAGTGCGTACACACCATGTGACCAGCAACCACAGCCCTTTTTCTACTGAAGTGTCCAGTAAACAGATTTAAAAAACAAAACAACTACTTGTCACAGAAATTCCTAGTCTGCTAAACTACACAAACAACTGTTAATCTGAGTTCTCATGGCTAGTTTCAGTTCACTGCTTTTCCCAGTCAATTCTCTTTCCTCCTCTTTGGATATCCTCCTCATCAACATTTATTAAGCACCTACTGTGTGCTGAGCCCTGGGAATACGAGGATATAAAGACTGGTACAGCCCCTGCCCTCAAGGAGCTTATACACCAGCAAGGCAGGTATAACTGCCTTAGACACAAGTAACTATAATACAAATGAGAATGTGGTGAGTGCCTCAGAGAGATCCAAATGAAGAGGTGGGGGGAGGGTGCTGAGAGCAATCCCTTCCAGCTGGGGGATGTAAGAGAGTTGATATAGAAGCCAAATGGCCAAATAGTAGTAGGCAGGGACTTTTTATGGAAAAAAACATAACACACACACGCACACACACACATACATGCACGCAAGAAGAGCACAGTCATTGCCTTTTGGCCCTTAGGAAACATAAAACAGCTCCTTTCAATAAACCGGATTAGTGACTTTCATTTAGAAGCGGAAACTTACTTCTTGGCATTTCAGAGATGAATACAGTGAGTGTAAGCTACCCATAAATCTCAGCAGCTTACTGTATAGCCAAGAGAAGAGCAAAGTTAAGTAAAGCCAAGTTTGACTTCTTCAGGAGGCTGTGGGGGTAGCCCTGATTCTCAACCCTTCCTGAAGGGCCTTGTGTTTGTTCTCCATTTGGCTGTTTCTCCTATCATTTTCTGTCCCTGATATGAACATTTTGGGGAATACCCAGCTGTTATTCTGCATTGCCCCTTCATTGGAACCTCACTCTCTTGCAACCATTAACCAACACTAAGGTGATGACAGGGTGTCATAGTGGATAATCAGGAATCAGTCAATCAGCAAGCACCTATGAAGCGCCTGCTGTATGCCAGACACTAGAGATACAAATACAAGTAAATACAAAAATGAAATTAGTCTCTCTCCGCAAGGAACTCTTAGACTTAGTTTTGTATAAGGAGGACAACATATATATATATGTGGAAGTGCATACAAGATCTAAGTAACTACAAAATTTGCGGGGTTTAAAGGCCACCCTGTGATTTCACTGCTAGAAGGAACTCCAGATGAAGAAATGTCCTCTAGCAATGCAGATCATTGAGAGTACTGCAATTTATGATGTTAGTGATGCCTGGAGAGCTGATTAAGTGATTTGCCCAAGGTCCACTTCCCGGGTGTCAGAAGTAGGATTTAAACCCAGGTCTTCCTTACTTTGAGGCCATCTCACACTGCCTCTCAGATAAGATATAAATAAAATAATACAAGGTCATTTTGGGGGGAGAGCCATTAGGAGCTGGGGGGATCAGGAGAAGCCTCCTGTAGTAGGTGGTGTTTGAGCCGATCTTTGAAGGAAATGAGGGATTCTGAGGGTGCACATTCCAGATGTGGGGGACAGCTTGGGCAAAGACAGAGACGGGAAATAAATGCCGTAGGTGAGGAAGAGTGAAGAAGGCTTGGTCAAACCTGTGCTTTAGGCACATCACTTTGAGAGCTTTGTAGAGGATTGCAGAGTTGAGAGAGGAGACAGAGAGAACGATTAGGAAGGTATTGCAATAGTTCAGACACTAGCTGTATGACCCTTAACTGGTTTGCCTCAGTTTCCTCAGTTGTAAAATGGGCATAATAATAACACCTACCTTACAGGGTTGTTGTGAGGATCAAATAAAATATTTATTAAAAAAAAAAAAAACAAGCACTTAGCACAGTGCCTGGCACATAGTAGGTGCTTTAGAGATGTTTATTCTCTTCCTTACCCTTCTCTTCCCTGAGAGGTGATGAGGGCCTGACATGGATGCTGGTCATGTGAATGGAGAGAAAAGGGACAGATAGGAGAGTTGTGGAGGTAGAATAAACAAGACTAGACAAATAATTGCATATGAGGCGAGGGACAAGTGAGAGCTCCAAGGTTGCAAACCTGTATGACCAGGAGGATAGTGGTGCCCTAAGTGAAATAGGGAAGTTTGTAAAAGGAATATGGGGGGGGGGGTAGATAATGAGTTATTTTTGTGCATATTAAGTGTGAGTTGCTACTGGACATCCAATTTGAAATATCCAGTAGGCAATTGGTGATCATGAAGCTCACGAAAGGGGATAAGATTGGGTATCTAGGAATCATATCAAAAAAAATTGAATGATAATTGATGAGGTGATAAAAAGATACGGCCTGGGACAGAGCTTTGGGGTACACTCAAAGTTAGAGAACAGGATATAGATGAAGATCTAGCAAAGAAGAGAAAGGTGGGTGTATCCTGGAGGAGTGGGGAAGATAGTATCAAAATCTGCAGAGAGGTCAAGAAGAAGATGCCATCAGATTTGACCATTCAGAGATCACTGATAACTTTAGAGAGAACAGCTTCATTTGAGTACTGAAGTCATGAGCCAGAGTGCACGGTGTATGAAAGTGATAGTTGAGAAGGTGATGGCATTGAATACAAACAGCTTTTTCTGAGCATTTGTCTGTAAAAGGGAAGAGAGATAGAGGACAGTGGCTCGAGGGCATGGGTTGGTCAAGTGAAGGGTTTTTTTAAGGATGTTGGGAGACAACAGAATAAACCAGTAGATTATATGAGAGAGAATGAAGACCAGGATTAGAAGAGATGAGATTGTCGAGATCTGCTGGGGAAAATGGGATGCAAGTACAATGGGAAGCCTTTGGGTAAAAGGGGGAGAGAATTGGGGATAATGGCAAGGGGTTTGTGATATAGAGTAGGGGAGAAGAGGGAGCTCATGGAGGACTTTTTTTTCCAATAAAATATGAGGTAGGGTCTTCTGCTGAGAGGTGGGAGAAAGCAAGAGCATGGGAGATGAGGGGAAAGGGTTCGGAACAGCTGCTGAAGGGAGTATAATGAAGAATCAGTTAGGAAGCAGCAGTAGGATTGCCTTGCATGGAGGAGTGGAGGTGACAGATGGTGTAAGTGCTGCGGGCCTCCACATCCCACCTCTGACACCTGTCTGTGTGGCCCTGGACAAGTCACTAACTTATGAGTACCCCTAGGCAACTCCCTAAGACTATAACTTGCAGATGTGCACCAGGTGTCTCCTATATGAATGAAATCACATGTCTAGATTTTTTAAAATGTTTTATACTCTTTAACGTAGCAGATGTTAATTCCTCAACCCAGGTTGAAGATAGAGTGACTTAACAAAAATTAATGCGTATATGAAAGCATATCTGTTTCTCACACATCTAACACTTTTTTTGTTGTTTTGTTTTCAATCTTGCTGCTTGATATTTAAATACCAGAGGATCCTTTCACTGTGGCCGATGCACCCTCACTGTCACATCTCCCCTTCTCAAAATGCACCTAGAAGTGGTTTTGGCCTGCCCCTCTAGACCACAGGGTAACATGAAAGTAAAGGTATGAATGAATTAAACTAATAAGAGAGAAGTTTGTTTACATCTTGCTTGCACCATGGCCTGGGGGAGGTGGGGATACTCTACATCAGTAACTGAGGGGGTGTTTTTGCCTTGTGGTATTGATTGAAACCCCTGGAAACTTCATTAAGAAAAGTGAGTGTGGGCCAGGGGAGGGCTTTCTGTCCTACAGTGTCTGTGACTTAAACAAAGACCATGAGGAGATCCTGTTAGTTGCAGAAGTCTAAGCCATGATATAAAAGACAGGACATAAGGTTCTAGACTTAACATATTAATTTGCAGAACATGACTATTTTTAACATGAGTGCTCATGTTCATGAGATTTTAACACACTCTCCTGTTTTCTCTTTTCCTGCAGCTGTTGCAAAGGAGTATTTCTTCACTCCTGATGTTTTCCTCCAGTGAGGATGGGGTAAGTACAGGTGATTAGCATCTGAGGTAATTTGATTTGATTTCTGGAACATATGCAAGCCCCAAGAAGGTCACCTCCCCCCAAAAACACAGCAGCTGGGAGTCTGTTCTTCTTATACAATATTAGTAAGAGCCCTGCCCCTCCTAAGGTTATGTGTAGGCTAAATAACTTAGAATTGAATTAGAGCATGAATAAATCTAGAGTGAAGTAAACAAAAAAAAAAAGTCCATGGCTCCCAAGATGATCTTATAGAAACAGATAACAAAGGGTTTTAATGGTGCCTTGTACTCTTTGGAGAGCAGTATACTTATAAACATAGGGCAGCTAGGTGTTTGGCTTGGAGTTAGGAACTCATCTTCTTGAGCTCAAATCCAGCCTAGCTATATGACCCTGGACAATTCATTTGACCCTGTTTACCTCGGTTTCCTCCCCTGTAAAATGAGCTGCAGAAAGAAATGGCAAACCATTGTGGTATCTTTGCCAAGAAAACCCCAAATGGGGTCATGAAGAGTCAGACACGACTGAAAAACCGAACAATAATGACATACTTATAAACCTTGAAAAATAGGTGGAACTAGATGAACAGTGGATAGAGTGTTAGACTTGGATTCAGGAACACCTGAAATCCTGCCTTAGACACTTCCTTAGCTGTATTATACTTGGGCAAATCACTTACCCTGTATCTGCCTCACTTTTTTCGTCTGTAAAATTGGAATAAACTTAGCACCCACCTCATAGGATTATTCTGAGGATCCAGTGAAATAAATAACACGTGTAAAGTGCTTTGTAAACCTTAAAGCACTGTGTCTTTCAATGCTAACTGTCCATCCCAAAATTTCAGTTTCAAAATATGTTTCACGGCCATGAAGCCACATATGAGACTACAATGGGACCCTTGCCTTGGCTACAAGGTTGAACCATATGGCCTTGAAGATTCCCTTCCAACTCCATGATTTTATCAGGTGTTTTATAATAGATGGATATTGCAATGTACAAGTAGCAGGCAAGTTTGCCATTATCTCTACTCAGAATACTCTAGCGAGTACAAATATCCCTTCCACCTGGAGAGGATTAGGGGCATCGTGCCCTGCCTCAATCAGGAAAATCTGCGTAAATTTTTTTTGGCCCTCCTTTCATACCAGAAAAGAAGTCTGAATTGTTAGGGTACTAACAGATAAAATATGTTGATATTAAATAATACTATAGGTGTATTTTATGCATTTCTGAGTTTCTAAAAATTTTCTGTGTCATCTGCTGGACTTCACATGGCTGTGGCTCCTTAAAACTCCCCAAAATTACCATATAATTTCTTTTTTAAAAAAAGATTGATTGGTTGATTTAGTTTTAATTTTCAGCATTCACTTTTACAAGATTCTGAGTTTTAAATTTTCTCCCCCCTCCCCAAGATGATGTGCAGTCTGATATAGGCCATACATGTACAATCATATTAAACATATTTCCACATTAGTCATGTTGCAAAGAAGAATTAGCACCAAAGGGAAAAACCAAGAGGAAGAAAATACCAACCAAAAAAAAAAGGGAAAGTAGTATGCTTCGGTCTGCATTCAGACTCCATACTTCCGTCTCTGGATGTGGATAGCATTTTCCATCATGAGTCTTTTGGAATTGTCTTTGATCCTTGGATTGCTGAAAACAGCTAAGTCTAGCAAAGTTGGTCATCGCACAGTGGGTTGCTGTTACTGTGTACAGTGTTTCCTGGTTCTGCTCACTTCATTCCGCATCAGTTCATGCAAGTCTTCGCAGGTTTTTCAGAAGTCCGCCTGCTCATCATTTCTTATGGAACAATAGTATTCCATTACATTCATATACCACAATTTGTTCAGCCATTCCCCAATTGATGGGCATCCCCTCAATTTCTAATTCTTGGCCACCACAAAAAGAGCTGCTATAAATATTTTTGCACATATCATATAATTTCTTATGCCAACCTATAACATATCAAAACTGAGATGTGGAAGATGTGGAAGAGATAAGTGTACTGTCAAATGTATCTCATAGAATGAACTCCCCTCAGACAGTCCCTACATAAGAGTCTCTACAATCAGTCAGCTAGTGAAGTACCTACTATGTGCTAATGGCTGTAAGTCAGTGGTGTCAAACTCAAACAGAAACAGGGACCACTGAGCCATATATAATGATTCCTACAAGCCACATATTGACTTAGAAAACCATACCTGTGTGTACATTTTTTTCTTTCTTTTAATTAACACATCAAGACATTAAAATTAGATAGGAAAGAACCACATTTTAATCTGGTTTGGCCTGACTCATGAGCCACAGTCAGCTCAAGGGGCCAACATTTCTTCTCTAAGTATCAGTTACAGTCCAGAGACAGTGGCTTCCTCATGAAACATTAGCATCCTTAATGAATTAGGAGAGCTAACTCTTCCCTGTGAGGGATGTTGTTGTTAAACTTTACACGATCATGTGATCCCATTAGGAAGGGACCCCACATACCAACTCCTCTCAGTTTACAGGTGAGAAACCCTAGGAAGATCTTTTGTTGTTGTTCAGTTGTTCTTGGTCCTGTCAGACTCTTGGTGACCCCATTTGGGGTTTTCTTGGCAAAAAAAACTGAAGCAAGCAGGGTTAAGTGGCTGGCCTAGGGTCAGCTGTGACACACAGCTAGTGAGTATATGAGGCCAGATTTGAACTCAGGAGGATGAATGTTTCTGACTCCAGGTCCAGCACTCTATCCACTTCACCACCCAGTTGCTCTCGGAAGATCTAGGAAAGCTAAGTAACTTGCCTAAGGTCATACAAGTAGTCACAGAATCAGGATTCGAACAAGTAGTCACAGAATCAGGATTCGAACAAGTAGTCACAGAATCAGGACTCGAACAGGTAGTCACAGAATCAGGATTCGAACCCAGGACCTCTGGCTCCAGAATCAGGATTCTTTCCACTGTACTTCTTTGACTTGTTCTTATGTGTACATGTTGTCTCTCCCCCAGCAATGTTTAAGCTCCTTGCGGGTAGGAACTACTGATTTTGATTTTGTACTCCCAGTGCCTAGCATAGTACTTGGTACTTAGTAATTGCTTCTTGATTGATTAAAAACACCTTCGTGTCCATATTCCACCAGGACCCTGACAGAATATTTGTAAACATTAGGTATAGCTCTGGGGGAAGGCAAAGAGTGTGAGGATTTTGTATTTGAGCAAATAAATATGTTTTTAGAATTATAGGGCAGTGGAGCTGAGATAATTCTTTTAATTTAGCTGCCAGAATTCTAGGATGCATTGACCAATGAGAATCTCTTCTGTGATGTTCAGAGATAACCCCATTGCAGACTCTCTCTCTGCCTTCACTTCAATTGTCTGCCATTTTCTGATGCTTCCCTTTCTCTCTAAAATTATTGTTTCCAATAATTTCTCAGCATTTCTATAGTAACAGCTTCATTTGACCCACTGTCCTCAATTTAGATGTGTTGACCCACCATCCCCAATTTAGATACAGTCATCCTTTTCCTACCTTCTAGTGACCAGGCCTGATAATACTTATGGATGAAGCAACATTTTATGTTTTAAATTTGCATTTTACCTAATCTGTCAAATGTTTTGCAGATATGAGTTATTATTTTGAACAAGCTAAAGAACAGGCAGAATCATCATCATCTTCATAAATAGGGAAATGCTGAGTGCTCCCCTGGGTACTTAGTACTAGCTGCAATGCTTAGTCTGGGGCTTTGTACATAGGGTTGGATGCATAGATCAAGTATACACTTGATAAATGGTTCGTTGGTTGCTGGATGTCTTGGTTGATTTGGCAGTGGGGACTCAGCAAGCATCAGTTGACTACATCATACAGAAATTAAAATATAATCTGCTCTAAATACATTTGCAATACCAGAACATAGAGAATGCAAACATTTTGTTTTTAGAATTTCCATATTTTGGGGGTTTTTTTTGGTAATATTTTGAACAAGAGACATTAAGTAGGAAATTGGGGTCATTTACAAAGGGAAAAGAGAAAAATGATGGAGAGTGATGCAAGACTGATTGGCTGTATTTAAAAGGAAGAAGAATGGGTATTAAGGATGACAAATTAGGTTCTCAGGGATAAATCCCCTGTAGGAAAATGTGAGGAACAAGAGGTTTAAGGACATTCATCCCCTAGATGAAGATAGAACCAGGTAGGAACATCATCATTTCCTTGAGAAATCATATAGACTTTGGGACAAAGGCTGCTCCTCTCTCTCTTTCTTTTATACTCTCCTTGAGCTGAGACCCAGAGGATAGGAGGGCACACTGGCAGCAGTTCTTTACTATCCACTTCATTCCTTCCCCACAGTGGCACTATCACTCCTCCAAATATTTTACAATAGCTTATATGCAAGCTTACTCGACTCTTTCATTTTTATCTCTCTAGTGCCCTACACAGGGCCTTTCAATTAGTAGTTGACGAATGCCTATTGAATTGATCGAATTGAATTTCTCATTTTCCTTAACTCCAGATTTCCTGAAATTTTCTGAAACAGAAACAAAGGCAACAGCAGGCTTGGGAATCTTGCCTAGGAGTATGACATGTTCTGATACAGGATCCGTTTACAATCTAACATTTGTTAGTGACAAAATTTGAAGTTGCTAAAAAGGAGGGCCCTTGCTTTTCCTGGGCCTCCCCACTGTGTGCAGGGTGCAGTTAAGGTCTATTTCTATCTCCTGCCAGAGTTGCAGGTAGCATCAAGTCCTGGCCAGTGTAGTAATGTCAGCCTCTAGTTATGGAGGCTGGATATAACATCCTATGGGTTTTGCCCTTAAGAGTCCATACCCCCTGAAATCTTTAAAAAATATTAGAAGTTCCAGTAACCACCATGACAACACTCCCTGCAGTACGTGGGTTTGTGTTTGGTTAATGGGACATAAGTGTTAAGTTTTGTGCCTTTTACTATCTTGTATGTGAGTCACCAATTCAGGGTCTTTGAATTGGCTAAATATTAGACACGTCAGTGCTCAGCTCTGGTATTAGAGAAGGAAGAG